ATACGGTCAGAGCTGTAACCTCTAACCATTACTCTGCACTGTAAAGAGAGCACATCCTCACATTTATCTATGGGGAACAACCTGGGCCTGACTTGAGGCAGGATTTTAATTACCCAGGTGACACAACAGCTAATCAGGGTAATTTTTTTGGCATAATAAAATTGTATCTCCTGCCCATTTGCTACCTGTCATCGGCCTGTCCAAGTATCTAGAAAGCTTTTCTGTAGTCATTTCCAGTATAGCTTGAATTCTGCCTTTTCCTACACAGGAGAGGTCCTGTCATCCTTCCCTCTCTCCCTCCCACCCCAAACACCACCCCCATTTTCAGGGGGAGGAGACACTCAATGGCACCTTTCAATCCCAGCTGACAAAGCTCTTCACCAAAGTCCTACACCTGGGACCAGTGTCTTTCAGAGAGGTCAAAGTTTCACTCATTGAGTACAGCTGCATTTCTGTTGAAATTAGCCACATTTCACTGCTGGGAGCATTGGGCTGCAAGAGGTAAGTGTTACAGGTAAGTCAGAGGTTGCGAGTCAGTCAGGATGCAAGCTCAGTAGTTGATTCTGCTTGGGCCTGAGCTGTTTAATACTTGTTTATGTATTTTGAACAACTGAAGAGAATCTGCAAAGCATCAGTGCTTCATGGCATGTCTTCTTGTCTGACTGCTTCGCAAAAGCTGATGGCAGTTCTTAGGCAAATCTGCTAATTTGGAGGGAGAAAACAGTTTGGTCTGTTCTGCGGTGAGACACCTGAGAAACCAAAAGGGCTGTTTCAGGAGGAAGCACAGAGAAGGTCTGTGTATTTACAGCTGTGCTTTCAACACTGGAAAATAAATCATCTTCCCACCACAGACCCCATTATAATTACTCTAGCATGTAATAGCAATTATGATGTTACTGCCTTGCTCTTATGGAGCAGTCTGGATTGCTGTTTCTTGAAGAGGAGTAGTGGGAATGGGGTGGTTATTTATGGTTGGGGAATGAGGAGATGAATGAGTAAGTTGTGAGATTTCACATCAATATTCCTCTGGCGTTTTGCAAAGAAACGTCATCCCACCCTGTCATGAGCTGACGGCTCTGCTGTTTGCCATTCCCCTCCCCCCGTGAAGAAATTCATAAGGGCAGATCTCAGACCTTCCCCACTCTGCTCTGATTAGGGAGGACAAGAAGGGAGAGATTTGGCTGCCCAGCTGCCTGGTGTTGTGCTGCTTTGTACTGCCAGCTCATAACCCAGCAGCCTGCTCAGCTCAGCTCTGCTCTAAAGGCAAACGTACCTCCTGCCCAGGACAGGGGCAACCAGTCCCAGCCAACCCTTTGGGCTGACTCCTGGCAGAGGGCAGTGCACAGCCAACAGCCTCAGGCCAGGGCTGGAGCTAAACCAGGCAATGCCAGGTACAGCCAGAGATACTGCCCGCTTTGTTCTGCACAGGATGGGCCCCCAAAAAGGCTCCCAAAGAAAAGGGACTGCTGGGAAGCAGGTGCCCAACACTAAAATATTTGTTTCAGGTTCCACTGGGATGGAACTTTGAAATAGAAATTTGAAACTTTGAAATACAAATTCAGATTCAGTTTCTGGTTGGAGAAGGGAGAAAATCGTGGTTCAGACTGGTTTCTGGTTAGGTTCAGCTCCCAGCAAAAACACTTGTGCAACTCAGGAGTGGGAAAAAAAAAGTATGAAGGGGATGTTTTGGGGTATGGATAACGTGGAGGTGGGCTTCAGAATGAACACAAACAAAGGAAGATGCTCAGCATGACGTTGTTCTGCCCCGTGGGGAGCAAGGAAGCTTGAACTGGACTCAAGTAATGGCAGAACAGAGGAGGGCCAGCAGCAGCAAAGCAGACCAAACCAAGACTGGTGGGAGAAAAGATACAAGATCAAATTAAATCAGGAGAAGCTTTTATCAAGGGACTGCTTCAAAAGGTGTCTGCTAGTCCCTGGCTTCTGCATGAAAAGAAAATAATCAATTGCCAAACAGGTAAATCTTCTCCTTTTGCAACTGCCCTTTTGGAGCAGACTCTGCTCTGCTTGTACTACATATGCCAGCTCTTAAAAATTTCCTTATGTATGAAGATTTTTGCGGTTCACACGAACATCAATTTTTGTCAGAGTCCATGTGGTGCATTTAAACCAAACTACTTCACACATTGCATACTGACCATATGGTCAAGCCTTCGGCAAGTGTATCTTTATATACAGGGGTATGAACGTAGTCCCTACAAAAAGGGAGGCTCGGTGCCTTTGCCTCGGAGTCTGGAGGAGCTGGTGTGTCTTCTACCATGTGTTCAAGCACTCTCACTGCTTGGGCCAGCACAGGTGAGTTTTGATGTGCTGTTCCATGAGCCTAATCTCAATTAGGCTTCCCTTGAGCAATCACCTGCAAGTGGATTCATATCATATGCTATTCTTAGCCTGCATATCTCATTTCTAGGTGTTACAAGGAACTGGATTTGAAACAGATACTCAGCATAAACAGGTGAGTCGCTTGAAATGCCCTAGGACTGCAGTTTCAGCAGACTGCGTCCAGCAAAAGCATAAACTTGAGTTTCAAGTGGTTTAACAGGTCAAAGCAGAGAAACAAAGCAATATATTCATGGTCGAAAGTGTGCATACACCTGCATATACATCCACACAGCTGCTCAATCAACAAAACACTTCCACAATTTAAAAGCATAATTAAGCAAATTGAGCTGATATATAGACTTTTCCTTTAACTTAAAGAAGGTTTTACACATCTTACCTCATATTTACTTCGAAAATGAAAATGAGAGCTCCTAAGACAGCACTTCAAAATGTAAAAAAATAAACCTTAAACCCCCCCCATATCATGTCTACAGCTACCCTTAGTGTGTATGTATAATTCTGTACCCCAGAACAGCAGAATGTGGTGTTATGCAATATCAAAACATATATTGCTTTATGCATATAACTGCAACCCAAAATATCTTGCAGCCAGCTGCCCAAATATTAGGTGCTCATGGGCCTTAGGGCATTGATGCCCCATAAATTTGAGAGTATTTATTAGGTGAATACAGAACTGGAAGTTTTGTGGCAGTGGAAAGTAAGTATGATAATGAGGTAAACACATGTTGCAAAGAAAATACCAACTAATTGTGTGCTCTGTGCAGGAAATAGCAGCTTTAAATAGTCCCTTTTTGAATGCTGGAGCAAGGCATATGAGCTGGCCACAAGATGGTCTACTTGTTAATGACATTTCTCTGTGTCCTAGAGCTTTTTGTAGTGCTGTAAACAAAGTTCGACAAGTAGGTAACCAAGTAGGTGCTGTGCTCCTTTGAAGGACCTTATGAATGCTCCTTTCCAGTCCAGAAAGTGGAGTGTTACATGTAGTTTAAGTTTTCTTTAGGTAAGCAAGAGGAAGCGTTCTTCAAGGGACCGTACCCACAGCCACAGCCGGGATTCCCTCCTTGTGGTCAGAGGAGACCTAAGGTATGGTGATGTCTGTGCATCATGAGCTCCATCTGGAGGTTGTTGGCTCTAACCTGTGGTTTTGGGAGAAGTGGAGAGAAAATGCAACAGTGCTGGGTCACTGTGTGGTGGGGGACCTTACAGCTATGCCTGAGATGCAGCCTTTGCTGTGTGTTTTCTTATCCATTGGTCAGTGCAGCAAAGAAGAGGCAGAAAACCCAGCAAGCAGTCAAGACTGTCCTGTTAGACAGCTTATGGTGGAAGCAGCTGCCCTTCCAAGTCTCCAGGGTATGTATTTGAAAGTCTGCTTTTTACCCTCACCCTCATATGTATGGGTGGTGGTGGAGAGGACATCAGCCCAACCTGTGGCTTCCACAGAGCACATACAGCAGTGGGAAAGGCCCATCCAGAAGTTCAGGGCTGGGTAATAGGTTGAAAAGCACAGGTTTGTTAATTTGGATGAGGTATTGCTGCATGAAGCTCACCAAGTTTGGGGTGCAGAGCAAGTTTCCAATGGCTTATGCCAGATGTTGGGTCCTGCTGACTTTGCTCAGCTCTGTCTCGAAGCTGTCTGCACACACAGCTTCAACTAGAGTCCCCCACTGTTAATTTAAGCATTATGAATTCAGAAAAAAGTTTCAGACAGGGCCAGCACACTCTGACGAAGTCAGAGAGAGCTGAGATGGGATCAGACTTTCCACCCAGCTACGGTAAAAGCTGTTGGGAGTGGGGTATGCAGGACCCTGTCAGCCAGCTGCTGAAAGAAAAAAATGGGTGTAATTAATCACCTGGGGTGCTACACTGATATGCAACCAGAGTTTTCATTTTCATAGACTCTTTAAAGTTTCTACTCATGAAACTAAGCAGTCTTCCCTAAGTATTGAGGTCTGCAAAAGTAATTTCCTCCATTTTTTTCAAAATCAAAGTTATGTAGGCCCTCTTCCACAACAGGATTGTGACAGGGTACACAGCGTGGTCCTTAAGAAAAAAGCCCACAAATCTTGACACATACACAGACCATCAGAAGATCTTTGATTTGTGATAAGACCTGAGTTACTCTGTCCAGCAAGATGTACAAATTTTCACGGTGGTCTGCAGAGCATAGAAAAATAATATCATGGCAAAGCTTTATCACTGTGTAGATCCCTGTCTGTATAATATGGTGGCCTCCACTGGTATGATGTCCACATACTGGTTTATGGCTATTATTGGAGGAAAAGGAGGTATTTGACTAATGACGCATATACCTGGCCAAAAAGGAAAATATTCAGACCTGTCATGTGTTGCATGGCCATGAGTATCAAGAAATTTGCTCTTGTGTTGGGACAGGAGAAGAACAGGCTTCATTACAACTTTTCCAGGATATTTTTCCACCATTAAAAGTGCCAGGCTCTTCAGTTCTTCTACACCTTTATAACAGCATACGCTCACCCGTTCCAGTCCACTCGTTACCAAGTATTCCAGCAACTGCATGAGGGAGGAGGTAAAGCAGTTTTCTTTTCAAAATAGAAAGTTTTTTCCATAAGAAGATTGTGTTTACTACAACAGTATTTTCAAGTAGCAGTCACAGAAGCAAACCAGGAGTGTTTCTCATTTTAATTGCATAAAACCAACATGAATAAATTTAATCAAGCCTCTAAGTATACAGAGATGTATTTTTAATACTTTTTGTATGTTTTTATTTACAAAAGGAAAAATAAGCCTGCAGTTTTACACCAAATAAAAAAGGACAAAGCTATAAGTTGAAGAAGAGACAGAAGAATGTGTGGGCTTTCACTTTTAAAAAAGTATCTGGAAGACAAACAGAGGACACAGAGAGAGCTAACAGCCTGAGTGCCTGCTGATGTCCTTGAATTTGGAACAGCATCTGAAAACCCAACTCTTTTTATCCCTCACTTAACATGTGGTGAAAAAATCCCAAATCGAGCAGTCCTTCCAACTGCAGATGTACTCTGGGGCACTTGAAGCTTAGTAGCCATATTTCTCATTGAGGTGAGTCTTGCCATCACCACTTTGACCTAATGGACAAAGAGAAAGAGTTGTGTTATTTTTTCTCCCCCTCATCCACAACACATTTGTACCAAAGTATGAAAGAGTCTCTAGGCAGCGTAAGAAAAGCACAAAAAGGGTAAGTCAGACTGGATACTACAATTCAAGTAGTCTTTTGATTTATACTTACTAATAGCGTCAATATTACATCATATATTCCTGGGTTTGGTGTTGGTATTATATTTTTTTCCCTATTTTCTTTTCCCTGGTGTTCTCATTATGCCAGCTTAGACAGAAGGTAAGTCTGTAGGAGGCAGATACAGAAAATGGAGCTCCCTCTTATGGACACAGCTCACGTGGCTATTCCCAATCAGACCTCTGAGCTACCCAATCGGGTATTTTGTTCCAGAGGATTCATAGGTCAGAGAAGTGCAGTCTTTAATCAAAGGATGATTCACCAGATTGTATTTTTTTTTCAGTAAAATTTATTCACAATCTCACTCCCTTTGGAGCTTATGTATAGCCTGCAACAGCCTTGTAAAAATTGTATTAATGAATCTACTAAATGAAAGCTAAGCTTTGAATTTACTATGAAAGCCTCAATGCATGGAAATGAATTTCCAGTTTTAGAGAAAATTCATTACACTGTTTAAGAGTAACCTCACAGGTAAAAAACACTCTGGAACTAAAGTAAAAAAATTATTCAACTATTTAGTGCCTTCACCAAAGTGTTACCAAGACTTGCCTCCAAAACACACGATCCAAAGTTTGTATTCCAATGATTTTTACAAAAATCTACAGTGAAGATTTTAAGATTTCACAGCCTTCTGTGAAAACTGAGAATAGGAAGATTGTCGGAGTATTTATCCCTAGTGAAGGTTTGAGCTTGTCTTTCAACAAGACCATCATATCACTATGTGTGAACGGAGTTAGCTCTCTCAGGTGTTATAAAACTGAAAAACAAACTTCAGGTGTATCAAGCCATTGAGATGAAGCTACTGCAGATACGACCTGTATTCCCCAGCAAGACTTGCATGGTGATACAACAAATACGGGGCATAACATGCCAGAAAACATTAGGTTCTGGGTAAAGTATTCCTAAATTACTTTCTTGTCAGGAAGTTACAGGGATACCCTGACTACTTATTAGGTGGATTCTTGAGTTATAAGACTACAAGTGGTAAGGAAGTGGTTGATACCTGCAGGAGGAATCCATATGCAGTAGTCTGGGTCATCATCTGGGTACTGTGAGGAAAAAAAGGGTTGTTGGACCTGCAAAAGGAGAAAAGATTTTTAATGTGCCACACCCCTCCAGCAATGTGTCACAGCCACTAAGTCTCGCCTTAATTCAGAGACAAATACTGAAAGGTGAGGGTTATTTCTACAGGAGTCTGGGATGAAATTAATAATACAGAGGAAAAAGGAAATATCAAACCCTCAAATAGATCCAGTTTATTCCCAGTAGAGTCACAGAATAATAGAAATGCTGGTTAGATGGGACCTCTGAAGGTCATCCAGTCCAATCAGAACAGGAACATTCCTCTCTACTTCCAGACAGTTTAATCTTGTCATCCTAACATTTGGTAGTGTTACTTGACACAGAATTTCTTTACGCAGGGAAAAAGATTTAGAGTAGGGTTTTCAAGAAGCGCTTTACTGCTTTCAGCACATAATCCCACTGAAAACCTCACGTTTAAGGTGACTTTCACACTTGAGTATATAAAAGTTCAGCTGTTATATAAAGGTAACAGTTTTTCAAAAGAAAAGAAACCCTGATTTTTTCATGTCTCACTGGCATCACTGAAATGTTTAAAGTAAACTGAAACAGTTCACTTGCAATTCAAATATTGACACAGCAATGTCTTTTTGTTCTTAGATTTTTAAGTTCAGCTACATCAGCATCACTTTCTCAACAACTTTTGTTTTCAACAACTGCAGGCAGCTATCAAAAATAAATCATACAACTGTAAAGTGCAAGACTTAAGAGCTAAAAATGTAGCCAGATTACTCAGCACTGATTTGCATTACTCTGTAGTATCATGACACAGTCTTAAGTTATGCAGTTGAAGCAATTTTTCATTCCCTCAAAAACTTTCCTTCCCCAACCTAAGCTTGAAAACAGTTCTTGTGGAAGACTAATGTTTTCCAAAACAGTAGACTGCAGGGCTGAACAGTTTTAAATATGGCTTGTGAAAAGTCACTTTAAAATTGTTTTTCCAGTTTTACATGATTCAAAGTTATTCCTTAAATATTAAAAAGAGGAAAAAAAAACCCAAAGCTGACTTCTGCTTGATATTTTCCATGCTAGATCCGAGCCCAAAGGCAGAGACAGCATATGGAAAAAGTGATTTGCGATGGGAGAGAGAATACAGCTAAGCCATCTGGTATTTGGAGAATGCTCAGTGTTAGAGTGAACTCTGCGCTGATGAGAGGTGCTGACTTGACTGCCTCAGCATGAGAAGCTGCCTTGTTCTCCCATATTCTTACGGTAAATGGTATAACTTGGGCTTTAACAGTATAAATTTACTCTTGCTTTCTTTATCTACACACTTTATAGGCTAGCAACAAATGACAATTTCAAAGGCTGTGCTGACCCAATCCCTGGGTCCTTTGCCAGGACTTACAAGGTGGCAGTTAGCACACACGGGCTGCAGGGAGTGAACTTTCTTTAAGGAAGTGGTGCAGGACTAAAATTAGATGTCCACCACACAGAAATTGTCCTAACAGTCAGAACTCATGGCCCAGCAAGCACAGTAATCTTGTTGGATGGCAGTCAGCAGAAGGCTGGGATGCACCCTAAAGGGAAGAGCCTCGCAGTAATCACAAGGCTAAAAGCATCCTGCCACACAGGCTCTCTCCCAGCTCCAGGAAGGCAACAATTGCCTGTGTCCCAAAATAGGCAAGGCTCATATACTTTACATTTTAATACAAATCTTATGCACAGGAGGAACACTGTCTGATACATCTACTCAAATTTATTAAAAATTGGGTTGCAAAAGACTCTTAGACTTCTCTTTTTCCACCTCTACAGGGAAGGATGAGGTTTGGTAATGGTAATAGAAACTATCCACAATTTTAGTCCAGCGTGCTCTGTGTCAGTCGATACACACTTCCCAAGCTACTCCCCACAGGAAGTTTGGCAATGCCATTCCCAAAGCCCAGAGAGCACCTATGTCCTACAACACTTTTGATATGGGAGAAGCAGCAATTAGCAGAGGCTAACAGCCAAGTGAAAAGATGAAGAAATAAATTTGTGATTGAATTGAGAGCCTCTGTCATGCTTGAAATGTTGTGCTTTACCTTCTTATTGGAGACTCTAAAAATCTGTGTCCGATGGCAATGTGTGATTCTACGTTTGGGTCTTAGTCAGCAGAAAAGCACTACTACCACCAAGTCACACTCAATCAAATTGCTAATTTTTCACTAATAAAGAGATGACTAAACAATTCCTTGACCTATAAGAGTCATAGTACCATAACTGACCTTGCTTGAGGTATTGATTTTCTTAACTTTCTCAGGTGTCTCTTCAGGTTCCTTACATACAGCCGCTGATGCTGACAAGAAAGAAGATTTGTTTTATCATCATGCATGATCAGTTCCATCAAAAATAAGCTTATAGAAAGTTCACATAAAAGTGAATATATCTAAAAGGAAATTCAAGACAGCTCACTGCAACAAAATTCATACTTAGACTGCTGAACATATTTTTGTTTTTCATAGATTAACTTATGTTTAGCACACTGTCAGTCACCTACATGAATGCAGTTTAAATAACGTCCCGTATTTGGGATTCTATAACACACTTTTAGTTAATGGCAGATGTTTTATTTTCTAAAAAGGTATTATCTATCTGTAATGACTGCAGTGACTGATTTGGATGGAAGCAGTAGAAAATGCACAGGATCAACATTGTTTGGTCCAACATTGGTGCATATTTCATAGCAACATAGGCGAGAGGAAGACAGAAAGATAGAAGTATGCTTGGCTTTTCTGCCACTTAATCTGTGAAATATTGAAACTCTTGTGGATTAAGTCTATGGAGGAGATGAAGGGGACAGGATGACATATTCTTAAGAGCCTCAGCTATGAAAAAGTAGAAGATTTACACAGATGTCCAAATATTCAGTACACTAAATAAATCAGTACTCATTTATTTTTTTGGGGGGGAACACATAGAGGGGTCATCTGGGTCATTAACAGACTATTAGTTAATGTTATGTAGCATTTGTCACTTTATAAAAGGGAAGTTCTGTCCTTCTGTAGTGTTAAGAGCTACTGCAATAAAATAAGGGGGGGAAGCATTACATTTGCATTCCTAAGTTAAAATAATTTTTCTTCTTATGCTATTTTTTTAAACAAAGGATCCCAAAGCAGTTAATGACTATGAAAAGCAAGAACTGAAGTGTAGTTGAAGTGACCCACCTTCACCACACACTTCCCATTTTCCAAGCAAAACACAATCTTTCATTTGAATTTTAGATTCCTACTTTAGGCTCTAGATAAGGCTTAGTTTCCTTCTGACAGAAGACCACACTAGCTCCTTCAGGTAGTTTCTAAACTCATGTGTTACTGTACAATAGAGTCTAAATTGTACTGCTCACCTTGAGATTTCTCTTGTGAGGGTTCCAATTGAGATTTATTCCGTAGTATCTTTGGCTCAGGCTGAAAATGAACCTCTGAAAAAAAAGAAAAAAAAAAAGAGCTAGGTGAGCAGTCTGCAGTAACTGTGATGAATAGAGCACTACCATCCCTGAGACAAAGTACAAAAGGGAACTCATAGCAACATTTGTCTCAGGAAGAGCCTCTTAACAGTCCTCCAAACTATTTCATCCACCAAGTCCATCATACTACAATATTAAAGAAAAAGTTGTGGCCCGTTAAAACACACTTTTCAAGCACAACCTGTCCAGCATTAAGACAAGAAGTCAGAATTAGGTTTCTGTCATGAAACAGATCATTTAGTGAGAAACATCATTACTGAGTTTTCTGAGGTGACCATGTCCCTGTACTCGGCACTAGTGAGGCCCCACCTCAAGTACTGTGTCCAGTTTCAGACCCTTACCATAAAAAAGACATTGAGGTGCTGGAGCGGGTCCAGAGAAGGGCAATGAAGCTGGGGAGAGGACTGGAGAGTAAGTCTTATCAGGAGAGGCTGAGGGAGCTGGGGTTGTTCAACCTGGAGAAAAGGAGGTTGAGGGGAGTCCTTATTGCTGTCTACAACTACCTGAAGGGGAGGTGTAGAGAGGCAGGGGTCGGTCTCTTCTCCCAAGTCACAGGCGATAGGACAAGAAGAAATGGCCTCAAGTTGCACCAGGGAAGGTTCAGATTGGATATCAGGAAAAATTTTTACACTGAAAGGGTTATTAAGCATTGGAATGGGCTGCCCAGGGAAGTGGTTGAGGCATCATCCCTGAAGGTATTTAAAAGATGGATAGACATAGTGCTTAGAGGTATGGATTAGTGATGTTTTTTTATCAGTTAGGTTGATGGTTGGACTAAATGATCTGAAAGGTCCCTTCCAACCTAGACAATTCTATGATACTATGATGTAAAAAAGGATGGATCCTTCCAACCCAAACTATTCTATGATTTGAGATAAACTTTTTATTTTTACTCCTTACAAACTGATCTGAAGCTGTACACAGGTATTTGTTCTCTTATTAAGTCACTTTCCCTGCCAACAGTATATTGTATTTTATCGTATGGACACTCAATCAAATGGAAACAAAATAGGACTTTTCTTGTGTCTAGGACATTTTTACTGAAAGCATGAAAAACTGACTGCCAAGTGGAGTTTCAAACAGAACCATGCGAAACTCATCTGTTGACATACAGACACTGGACTCATGGCAAAAATCAATGGAAAAGAAATCTGCTGAATAACCTGTGACTCAAACCTTAGGAAATTCACAAAGGTCTGAAAAATTCAGCAGTAACAGACTCAGCTTCATTACTGGAAAAATCAAAACCAATGATTTACCATCCTGAAGGGATTCTAGATTCTTGTTATTGCAAGGAGAACCATCAGCATTGTTAGTTTCTTTTCCCGTTTCTTCCTCTGTTGTCATTTTCATTTCCAGGTTTGATGCTCTGCTTTTTATTGCATCAACTTCTTGCTGCTCCCCCATTTCTTCCTCTTCTTCTTCCTCCTCCTCCTCTGGTCCATCATCTTTCATTTTTAACAAGCTTTCAGGGATGTCTGGACGCTTAACAGGCAACTTCTGTAGGAGAAAGACTCATGCATCAGTGCTAAGATAATATGGAGGTAGATGTCACAGATAAGCATTACAGGAGAAAGAACACACATTACCATCAAAGAGACAGCTGGTAAGGAAACAGTCTCAGGATGAAGAGTAGTTAGGTTCTAAGGGAAAGTTATTAGTAGAGATGGAAGATGAAAAAAAATTGTCAAGTCCATAGACAAGGGTTGCAGCCTTTTTGTAAGAGGGACACTGGAAACTGAATCATTCTTGGATATGATTTAGCTAAAGGCTCAAGGAAAACAAAAGAAAGTAAAGAAGCAGCTGCTGAGGTACAGCAGCAGCTCAGCCTGATGTCCCCAGACTGCCTCCACTTGATCCACTTTGGACCAAGGCCGTGCCCCAGGAGACAGGCTGTAGAAGGGCAGAGAGTGGTAGCTCCTGGCAGCAAAGGGTGTGCACCTTCCACTGCTGCAGGCTCTCCCTGCTGCTTCCATACGTGTCAGAAGACATGGCTGCCACCGACACTCTCCACAGCCTGTGAAGGTGTCTGAGAAATAGCTTCTGACTCACAGGACTTATGAGTCCAACTTACCCCTAGGCTTCCAGTTTTCAGCTTGAATTTGCTCCCCCCTTTCATTGCACCAAAGAGAGGCAGGGTAATCTTTTTGGGCTTGCTCTCTGCTTCCAGGCTGTAACTCCCACTCCTAATAAAAATTAGATACAAAGAATACAATGTACAAAGTATCAAATGTCTTATATTTACAAATGCAAAAAGCCTGCAAATTAGAAGTAGATATATAAAAATCCATTTCTTTCTGTCTCACTTGGAGCACCCAAGGAGGAAGGTGCAGGAGGTGACTCCTCTGTCCTACACACATGCTGTGGGATTCAGACACTTGCCGTACAGGAAATAAATAAAATAAAAAAAAATCTCTACCAAACAGACTCCCTCAAATTCAATTGCACACACATACTTACATATGTACATAATATATGTGTATATATATAAACACACTCTAAAGCCAAACCTCAATTTAAGTAAATTAATTAAGTAATTAAGCCTCTAATCAAGCTGCCACTAGCTGATGAACCCAGCACACGCCCGACTGGATTGCAGCAGTGCTCCCAGGCAGTAGTGGAACAGCAACTACACTTGACTTTCAGGTACATTGCACAGAGTGAAAGTGGTTTTCACGTTGTACATAATAACTGTAAAATTTCTCAGTTCCTTTTGGATGCAGGTTGGGAAAAAAAAATTAACAAAGCTGACACCATGCTTCCAGTCCCTTCCTCCACATCCCCGCTGTGTGGGCTTCTCTTACTCCACTGTTTGGAGGCATCTGCCTGGACCATAGATGCAGCAAGAGCCAAAAGGCACAGCGGCTCTTTAAAGAGATGAGCCAGGTGGTTTGGAAGGCCATCCTGCTTTTGTGTTTGGAAAGCTGTCTACTTACAGGGCTTGCACAACTGCCCAGGGACAATAACAACAGTAAAAGCAATCATTTTGCACTTTAGCCAAGACTTACTGAGGCTTCAGCTCAGGCAGTTCTGCAGGCTTGACGAGCTTTATTAACCCTTTCAGTCTCTGCTGCTCTTTCTTCAGTTCAAAGGACCGCAAGTGAAGCTTCTTTCGTGCCACGCTGTCTAAGGTGCATCCCGATTTTATTTCGGTCATGAATTCGTCCAAGGAATCTTGAGCTGCTGGCTGGGACTGGACTATGCAAAAATAAAGGGAAGATACATATTGTTACAGGTGGGGAGATGAGAGTTGCACTCATAAAATCCTAACTTTGGAGAATAAGGTATATAGGAACAACTATCCTCTCTGCAAGTTTCTGTTGAACGATGAAGTAATGGAGGCTGTTAGTCCTGGAAAGACAAAAAAGCACAACAGTAAACCTTAATCCGCTTAGATAACAAAACCTCTCTTAAAACTGAATGTTTCTTTACAAATGAGTATCTCTATTCTAGGTTTCTCATCTCCTTCAAGATCTACTGTCCCTAAAGTAGTGGCTTAAGGGTTCTTTTTTTGTAGTCACAGACTAAAATAAACACAGTTACAAAGAATCCCATACCACTGTACGGGGAATGCCATTTTGGCTTTCCTGGAAAGTTTATGTCATGACATTCACAAAGCTAGAAATGAATCAACACACGATGCTGACTCCTGGATGACTGAGTACATACAAGAATAGTTTCATACATTAAGCCAATCACACAAAATTTACCTTTCTTTTGACTGCATTTTCTAACAAGAAAACACTGCTCTGTACTTGAAAAAGACTAATGACAGTCTTTCTACTCCACCTGGTTTCAAATATTAATCATTCTACACATATTTGACTAATTAAAATAAAAGTTAGGAGGAAAAACTAAAGCTCTAATGACCAAGAAAACTAAATACAGAATTCTAACCCCAGGAAAACTCCTTTCTTCATCTTGAACAACGCTTCAGCAGTTTTTGTACTGTGTTCCAAAATAACTTGGAGGCAAAGAAAGAAAAATGCAGTTGCTGAAATTTTAACAAGCCTTTAGACAGGCAATCTTCTGCCTTTTAATATACAAAAAGTGGCAAATCTGGTATTTACTTCCTGCATTATAAGCATTTATGTATATATGCACAAGAATAATTCCATGATCAATGAATTATTTTCAGTTCAGCTTGAGCTAGTTAAGTAGCACTTGAAATTTTAAATGTGTACAAATAAATAGTGTAAGTTATTGTTAGGAGTCCATTTTCCAGCAGTTTTACACGACTTAGATATTTAGAAAAAAGTCTAGTAAGACTCATGTTTACAAGTGGACTCAATTGAAAAGAATATTACTGATCTAGAACAAAACAGCTTACAATTTGCAAATATATGAAAGTCACAACAGTAACTGTTCAAAGAAATACAGAATTACAAGGCTCCAAAAGATAAGAAACAGTTGTAGCATTCACCTCCATGCAAATACAAATGATGACAAAACATGTCATAAAAGAAATTCAGACAGAAATACACTTCTTTTCCCTCTTAAGTATTTGTACAAGCTGAGATAAAAATCATCAGTGAAAAGGTACTGATAACAAAGAGCCTGAAACTCCTACCAGGCAGAGGCTGAGCAAAAGGATCATTTGACTTAAACACCAAATTTCAAAGATAAGGCTTGGTGTCTAGACAGATAATTCAGAACAATTAAACGCAGGGTTCCAAAGCTGCTGCTTTAGCTGCACAACAGTGTAAGAGTGCCTCAGTCAGTGAGTGAGCTTCAGCAAATCGGATCACTCTTTTTGCAAACATGATTGTCTGCTTGATTAAGAGCAGATCTTGATAAAAATCTCCTGAAAAAGATATCCTGATCTTGATACAGATCAGGAAGTTCGGCTTATGAGGTTACTGTTAGCATTTGATATCTGTTGCAGCAGTTTTCTACACTACTGAAATAAAATGTGACAATGCTAGAAGGTGAATCAATCATGGCTTTATATTTCAATGAAAAAAGCTACAGGGCTATTTACTGCACCATCAACTTATTGATAATTTTCTTCTGAACAGGCAACCAAAGATGAGACTGATGAACTTGATTTTCATTCAGCTGCATCAGCGAATGAGAGATACCAAGTTAGTCCATCAGTAGTTAGCTCTGAAGAACTCCAGAGAACAATTTGTGAACTTCTACTGCGATCTTTTAGACAACCACGTAATTTCTCCAAGTACTTAGTAAGAGGTGTTGCAATTTATCCTGTCATTCACTCTTTGGTGTCTCTACACTCTTGCCTTTAGGCTACAAATAACTCTTTAGAGGAAGCAAAAGTGCGTTAAGGTTTCAGAATTGTATGTAATTCAGCAGCTTTGCCAGAGAGCTCATGACAGTGGTAAGAATCACCCATGATCAATACACATGCCCCTGGCTTACAGTCGTACGCAAGTACTCACACCTGCAACTAACCTGAAGCACCCAAAGAAATCAGAGAAAACACAAATATTCAGAACACAAACACACAAAGTAATTTACCATGCAATCTTTGCTACATTTTAACCTTCCCTCCTTCTAGGAAATTCACATCCAGTACTGAATTACTCTGTATTGCACTAAGTGCTGAGACCGCAATTTTTCCAAGGCTCTAAACTAGGTGTGTAACCAGTTACAATTTAGCAAACCATGATAACTTATATCAGAATTATATGCTGTTAGTAAAAGTCGATAAATGAACTGATTCTTCCTTCTCCCAGCCTTTACTACAATATGATTTAACAGTCTTGTTGAGAAACAGTATCAGCAGAAACAAATGCATCATAACATATGAAAGCTTGGAATTACATGTCTCAGACAATATAAAGCATTAGCTTCTGCTAGTCAATCGTTAACTCCGTATCAGTACAGTCATGCTGAGAACAATTCCTTCAAACACACTGAACTGACCCATCAGTTAGAATGCTCAGTGGAACTACTGTTTTCTGAACGGTGATCTGGTATAATCAATCACCAACAAAAACACTGATACAAATGAGTTCTGGTGTTGAGCTGAATAACTGGAAAGAGACGTGCCCATATAATGCAGGAAAGAGCCCAGCTGTCAGATTGCTGCTAGGGTTCTTGGAGAGAAATGCTTCTGACAAACTGACACCGCAACCTTTATTAATGCCAACTCTGTTAAACAGGCTTTTGTATGAAGAACCAGCCTAAACACATTTCCTTCATGCCTTCCTTTTATTCCACAAGACATCAGCAGCAACAGAAAGCAAAATGCAGCTATTTGTATAATATGCTTTTAAATCTAACTCGCTGCCAGATACAATCAGCACTTTGGAAAGGCTCTGCCTTCCTACACAAAGGCATAATCTCAGAACCTGAATGGCACCCTCATAAACTAGCAAGTTCACTGAACACATGGGCTAAGTGTCAACTGCTTTGACTCCACATTTCTCTTTTCCTATCTCTCCTTGTTATGGTGCATTTACAATGAGAAAAGTGAAATAAAAGATACTGTCTTTTCTGTCAGTCGTTTGCTCTTCTCTTATGAAGGGTTTTGGACAGAGTGGAAAAAAGTGCTCCTCAAATTGGGTCACTTTCACTAATATGGACAGATAAACAGTAATAATGTTCATCCTCTTAAGCTCCAGGAGCTTGTATACTCACCTCCTTACCTTAACTTAAATGTTGCTTGTTTGGAAAAAGCCGTGTGCATTAGCAAGTGACAATACACACAGAGTACATAAACTACTGGATGAAGAGCGTTAAGTAGCCTCTCCAGCTAACTCAGTGACCTGCAAATCTTCCTACCCTTTTGTGAAAAGAGAACACTAAAAAACAAAAGTGCTTAAGATAGAAATCCATATGATATATTTTCATCTCTTTACTGTTCTTTATGGAAAGCACTACGATCAAATAAACTTCATGCCTTACCTTTCCCTGAAGCCTTCAGCTTCTCTGTTATCTCAGAAAGCTCATTTTCAGCTTCTTTTAGCTTTGTGACCTATGAAAGAACAACATGCTTAGAAGAGCTTTTTATCTTCTTAAAATCCCCTTTTAAGAATTACTCAAATATCCTACCAAATTACCTCAATCTTTCTACTTCTGGTCTTGACCAGGAGTTTCTGGGCTGAAAAAATTCTAGTCTAGATTGTTCCTAAACAACTTATCAGTCCTTTCACATACAGTTCAAATAATGTTCTTTCTGAAACACAAAAATATGTATAATGCTTCTGCAGCAGTGTTATACCACCGCTGTGATCCTCCAACCCTCCCTATCCCGGCTCCCCCACACCCTATTTTCTGTGTAGGGCTTTTAGCTGTCACTCCCCTGTCACTCCAGGCCACTTATTCTTTGGAGCAGAATGAGATACTTCTTTGGGATGTGCCCTGTGCACTTGAAAGCTTGCAATTATTTTCTGATGCTTTAAAACTATTTTAAAAGTATCCTGCTCTGGTATTTCATCCACCCACTGCTGTGATCCACAAAGAAGAATGCAATACTATGCATGCAAAAGCAGGGTAGTATGCTTCCACTAGAATAAAGTAAGCAATAATTTCAGGTATTTATAGATATTTCCATAAATCAAAGACCCTCTATTTTATTCTGACTTCGCCAATTGAGAGCTGAAGGCCTGAAATGATTACCAAGCTCAAGCTAGCAGAGGAAGGTAAGAAAATATTTTTGATTTTCCTTTTTAGTAATAATACATATATAAAAGAATAAGCCTGGCATGTCATAATAATTTTTCTTACCAAGGAGTCATAAGTCTCTGGTTTTTCTTCTATTTTACCAGCTTTTTTCATTCTGTTCAGTCGTTTCTTTTCTACTGCACCAGTTCGATCAAGGAAGGTGTCATCATCACTGTCATAAAAGTCCTCATCTTCCCAGTTCTTTGATTTCCTTTTTCGGGATACTGGGAAAGGCAAGGGAGAATGCAAGAACCAAGATGATTTGCATACCACTAAGCAATAAAACAAATTCAAGAGAGCAATCTAAAATCCCCAGTCTAGGGCTTTTAGAATGATCACAGCATTTGAGTAGTTATTCACCTGCTTCTTGTCTCAGCACTCCTCGAGCATCAAGTAGCCTGCAAGCCTCCAGTGCACACTGTATCATGGCTTCCTTCTTCTTTCCTGAATGGAGAACCTCTGCCACCAGCTGCTTCCCTGATGCATCATCCACAGGCAACCTGTTCAGTTTGAAGGATCAGAGAACAGCTCAGATTTCCCAAAGCCTGCATGTACATTTTTATTTCACTAGCCCAAATAATAATTCTGCCTATATTAATTCTACTGGGAATACAAGAAGTTAAAAGGTTAAACATCAATCCCCGAATCTTTTTAAGCACCAGTATCTTGCATCCATGCAACACCAGTAACAAATATTTTCCCTACTGAAGCAAAGGTTTCTTAAGCAGTACAAACATTGCAACGTTGTACCTATTCTGGTAACTTAATTCCACCTCACCTTCTCCTGTCTTATAAAAGGATGACATTAGTGGCCTCTTGCATGAGCCCATCAAAAATTACCTTATACGATAAAAGAACTGAAATTGGGTACCTAGTAGAATGAATTACTTTTTTTTTTTTTTTCCCCTTTCTCCCATTAGGAATTGACAGATACTGTGTCCTAGTTTCTTCTCTCGTATTTCAATTTACATATTTCTCAAAACTAGGGGAACTGAAAGAGCCTAGACTCTCGCTTTCCTGATTTTCATCTCTAAGGAAAACCGAATGCTACCAAACCAGAAAGGAGTGCAGACACTGATCCTCAAACTTCTGTTTCAGAATCAGGGCTCAGGTCTAATTCCAGCTGGCCTCCAAAGCGTGTCAAGTTATTCCTTCAGCTTTTATTTGTAAATTCTATGAAGGCAGCTTCTACGTACGAAAGCAAATGTAGATATACATACTTGATCCTGCATAGCCAGCTATTGTGCCCACGATCATCATATTCATATTCTAACTCTTCTCCTAGAGAGAAAAAGAAAGTTGAGGTAGTAACCAACACTGAAATAAGCAGGAATAATCTTTACAGCAGAGAAGAACATCATGGTTAAAGATAAGAGATAAAATGCCCTTGTTACGTATCAAAGGACTGAATTTGCCTTCTCTCTCTCTATTTTTTTTAAGCCACAGGATCTTCAGTTGGTATTATGCTCATTTGGTTGTTTTTGACAATCAAAGCTTTTTTAGATCAAAAAAAATACATCTCTAAGTGGCCTGTTCAAGAAAATGTAGTTCAAAGGGAAAACAATCTTGCCTCTGTATGCGTTAAAGTAAATGACATTGAAGTAACAACAGTTTACAATCTGGATTCACAGCTATTGTTTGTCTTGAAGATTAATTTTTCATTTTATCACGTGTGTCATCTATTAGTTTCACTAGCAACCATCAAAAGTTTAGGCCAATTCATTATTGTCTTTTGTCTTATTGTACTTTCCAATTCTATTTCACAATCACAGCCGTCTCCGAACAGAACAGCCTGGAATTTGATGGGTTTGGATTTTTCAGCATAGCTTCAAAGCCTGGGTGTGGTTTGAGTGCCACTCCAGAGGAATACAAAGTGCTCTCTCCAACTACCACTTTAGGAACTGATAACTAAATCTCAGATATACAACTGTGAGCTAAGTTTTAACAAAAAACAAAAACAAAGCCCCAAAACCCAAACCACCTCCAACCTGCCCACTCTAAGTGTGACCAAATAAAAAACTTCACCCACAATGCAACAGAAAAGTTTAGCTCCCACATCTTAATTCCCAAAGAGAAACATGAGCACAAACATCATACTTTGCTAAATAGAAAAGATTAAATTTAATTAAAAAAAAAGGTACCTTCTCTGTCAAAAAAGCCTTGTAAAGCCTTTCTGGGATCTTTCATATAGAAGGCATCTTGTACATCTTGAAAATCAATAGCAATAGGGTTTTCTTCAACCTCATCCTCCTCAGCATCCTCCCCTAGAAGATGACACACGAAGTACAAAAAAAAAAAAAAGACAAAACCTTAGAAAGAGAACATCGGTATATTTCAGCTTTTATTAGTTTGAAAGAAGCATCAGTTACATCACCCTAAAATTACTTCCCTTAACTTGAATATCATTTCTGTATCCAATAAAAGAAAATAAATGCAGAATCCTGCTTCTTTTTTGCTTTTAGTTATTCCATTATATGACACAGTTTTGCAGATGAACATCACTGCAGTTTCAGCACTTTCAAGAGATGTGCTTATATATTTCCATTCAAAAAACCAACTTCTGTTGTACTGAAAAGCTCATTAATTAGAATTTAGTAGCATTAAGATGTGGACTTCCTATTTAAATTTAAAGACAGCTATACTGCACAGAAGTCTCAGGCAATTAAATTTCACCTCTAAGGTAAAATTGTGGACATCATCACAGGAACAAACCACATAGAATTAACCTAAACTCTCAGTTTTGTGAGCTTTTATAGGTATAAGCAAATTACCTTCTCCCTTAAAAGGGGCTCTAACATAGTCCTCACCTAGGTAAGATATAAGCTTGCCTTGTCACAGCACTCTTCTTTTTAAAAGGAAAAGGATTAATCTGTACTCAAGAACTTCTACTGGGTTGGGACACTTGGGTGTCCAGCTGCAATTTCAGCCGTAGTATTCACTGAAAACTGGCTTAAAGACCATCCAGCATGTATCAGCTGATTTATGCATCACTCACCCATTCCCCACGAGCAGCTCATATCACTGTTCTGACCCTTATCATTTCTCTCCTCTTTTTCCTCTTCGTCAGAGTCCTCTCCCAACATCGTCTTTTCTAATTTTGCTCGCTGCTGCTTACGCAGTGCCTTCAGTTGTGTCACAGTTAGCTCCGACTCAGACTCCTGGTCCTCTTCAGGCCCCTAGGTCACAAACAGTAACTTTACAGAAGTGTTTCTTAAAAGAAAAAAAAAAGTATTTTCATCACACGTGTAGATAATACACAATAACAGTAAGAAATCATTACAGTGCTCTTCAAAAAGTGGCATTATTAGACCATTTGTTATGGTTTCCATCCTTAAATATATTAGTTTTAATATCCCTTTTAAAGGAGGAGAAAAAAGAAACAAGCATTACTGTGTACTTGTAAGGAGACCAATCTCAACTATGACTGTATTTTAAAAGCAGAACGCAACAACCTTTTTTAACAGTGCCACACAGGAGAATTTTAGGAATGCACAACTAAAACCTCTGAAGTGCAGGTAGGGCACTCTAAGTGCTTTCTAAGTTCCTACTATTAAAAGCTCCCCTGGATCACAAAGAACCATTAGTACTTTACTCTCCCAATGCGTCACCCTGCCGGAGAGACTTTCCTGATACATCACACTGATGGAGAGGAATGCCCTCTGCTCTCACCACACACCGAGGGAGAGGAATGCCCTCCGCTCTCACCACACACTGATGGAGAGGAACATCCTCTGCTCTCACCACATGCCAGGCAGAAGCTGCCGTGGCCATTCTGGGGCTGAGCCCCTGGCAGAGCTGCCCAGTGCCCAGTGCACCAGGGTGGAGGGACCCCGCAACCCCACTCTGTCCTTCAGCCCCAAAGCTCACCCCAAAGCCAGCAGCGGACACTGAGCAGCTGACAGCTTTTCCCCACTACAAACACCACCACAGCACTGGGCCGCTTTCAAAGCGTCCCAACCAAAGCGCTTTCACGCCTCCTCTCCAAGATGCCGAGGAGATGGTAGATGGAGGCGGGTAAGGAGGAGATGGTAGAGGTAGGCGGGCAAGCTCCTGAGCGCGATCCGGGGAAGCCTTTCCCGCACCAGTCACCCCACCCGGGCTGCGGGGAGCACCGCCCGGGCCCCGACCCACCTGCAGGAGGAAGAGGCGGGAGCTGCCGCCGAAGCGGAGCCCGTGGCCCACCCGCACCCGGCAGTAGGTGCGTGGCGGCACCCGGGCCTTGTTGAGGAAGGTGCCGTGGGTGCTGCCCAGGTCGTAGACGTAGAAGCCAGCGGCATCGGCAGCGGGGCCGTCGGGGGAGCCTCCCGCCCCGCGGTACTGCAGCACGGCGTGGTGCCGCGACACCGAGGGGTGCTCCAGGGACAGCGCGCAGCCGGGCAGCCGCCCCACCAGGAACCAGCTGCCGCCCTCCAGCCGCACCGAGCCCAGCGCCACGCCGCCCTTCAGCACCTCCAGCCCGTAACCGGCGCCGGCCGGCGGGCGGCTGCCCCACGGCGGCTCCTCGTAGCGCGGCGCCGGCGGCGCGG